ATGACAACCATATCACTTTAAAATTCTAATTCTAAGATAAATCAATATATAGATAGATAAGACATAGAGCCTTAAAATTAGTTTGTCCCCTTGAAGCATTAAGCCACTGCTCCATCGGTATTTCTTACAGATGATCTTTTTGCTTTGCTGTCACATTCCTCAGAAGCTATATATCCTCAAGATATTTCTTTGTTTAGTTCCCCGAAGGGTTTTTATATTCTGAGTAATGTACAATAGTAAGATCGAGGACTGGTGAAACTTATGTTTTTCTTTTGTGAAATAAAGGAAATGCAAGGAGAGATAGCAAAGGATGTTTTAACCACAGACAGATACATTTTGGGAGAAAAGTACACATAGAGGTACTTACTTATTGGAAAATAATTCCCTTAAAAGTATACATACCCATCTCCCCCTATATATATTCTCAGGAATATGACTCTCCCAGTTTGAAAACTGCTGGTATAGATGGTAACCTGCTCCATGATTAGTAAAGTCTTTCACTACTGAAATAATAAAATTAAATATGCTCCCTACCCTATGTCTATTCCACTGTATTTCAATTCTCTCTTGAGTACCTAAAATAGCGTAAATTCTGTTGACGATGCTCCAAACATTGGAAGATACTATGGTGCACCTCCCATTTTCATCTCTAAGGTTAATATTCCTAGCTCCTTGAATGGCTCATTATCTATCATTGTTTTTAGTCCCTTCAACCTTCTAGTTATCTTCCCAGAAAAAATACTAAGATTTATCAAATTTTTTCTGAGTTTTGATGTTCAAAACAATATAATGCTTTTGTTGCCAGGAATAGATATCAGTCTTAGTGATTTTCTTTATAATGTAAAGAGCTACTATTTATTCAATGCTTGCTATATGCTCAGTGCTTAAAATAGCACTGCAAAGAAGATACTGTTACCATTATTCCCATTTTACAGATAAGACTGAATTGGAAAAGAACTAGATAACAAGAACAAACTCAAGGCTCCATTCAGAGCCTTATTTATTAATTAATTGCTGGACAGGGCAGTGGTTGATTTAACAGTAACATGACAACATTCAGGCATACCTCCGTAGGCATGCAAGGGCCCAGAGTAGAGGATATATAAGATTAGGCAAAATGTCAGGATCAGCTGCACATTCTCTGGAGAAGTCCCTGTTAATCTAAGCGTGGCATGTATTGTGCTGGACTGTGGTCTAGAATGACCTGCCGGAGTAACTGGTACGGTGCAGTGGTTTTCAAACTAGACTCTACTCAGCCCAAAGGAGCCTGTGGAGGTCCTGAAGACTGCTGCTGGAGGGAGGTGAGGACACAAACAATGAAGGGCTTCCTGTCTCTCCTCCTCTGCTTCAGCCAAGCATCTCTTCTTTTCTCTAGTTTCACTTACATATCCCAATAAGAATTAGATAGAGATAGAGATGAAATAAAAATAGAAACAGAGATGGGTGTGAGACTGTGTGTGTGAGAGAGAGAGAGAGAGGAAGGAAGGAAGGAAGGAAGGAAGGAAGGAAGGAGGGAGGGAGGGAGGGAGGGAGGAAGGAAGGAAAGAAAGAAAGAAAGAAAAAGAAAGAAATGCTAGTCACGAAAAAAATGCTAACTTTGGAATCAGCTTGCCTGGGTTTGAGCCCAGTAACATACTAAGTGATACACTTACTCTTGAGTGACTCAGGCATGGTCTTTAACCACCCTAAGTGATAGTTTCCTCACCTTACCTATAACAGGTATTCAAAGATTTTTTGTGAATACATGAAGGAATGGAGGAATAATTTTGTATTTTGCAGAAAAATAACCTTGCAGGGTTGTAGTGAGGATGAATACTAATATAGAGACAGTTTAGTAGAGCCTGGCACATAATAGGTGTTTTGCAAATAATGATAATAATTAATATCATTATTATTATTTTTAATTGATTCAGAGTTTCTATGACTGATGTGCAAGTGCCATGTGGCATTTCTCTCTAAGCGAGACAGATATCCTTCATTAAACTTGAGAGCAAGTGTTATATGCTGCTGAATATTTGGAATATGCCTGAATCCATAGGGCTTTCTCACCACAAGGGAAGATTCTGGCTCAGAAGCTTCTTGGTTCTCCACTCTTGGGGTGTGGCTGGGAAGTTTGGTGGCAAAAATAGTGGCAAGCTGTTGTTTGGAAGAAGCCTTGCCATTGTGCCAGATGTGCCCAAACCATATGACAACTCAGTAGGATCAATTCCTGAAGCCCAAGAGGTATGCATATTTTCTGTTCTTGTGATTTCTTAGGCTTGAATTGCACTACCCAGTGACATCCAAGTCTGTGTATTTAACACATTTGTTCTCTGGGTAGGAACAAATTATGAACCTACAGCCTATTCTTCTTGGTGGGGGATGGGTGGGAGGGAAAAAAAAAAAAGAAGTGTACTGGGCTTTTGGCGTGAAACTTAATGTCTTTAATTTACCTAAATCATTTCCAGTTAAATACCGTTGTCTTGTGAATCACATTCATCTGCTGTAGATTGCAAGTTCTCCAGGGTAAGACCTTGTCTTTTCATAGGTTGTGTAAAATGGTACAGACATTTTTAGCATGCCTAGTACAACAGATGGTTATCATTTATAACAAAAGAATAGGAACAGAGGCAGCCTCATGACATGTCCTAGAAGCTTGGTACAAAAGAATCCCATTACATACATATTGTAATCCCATTACAACATATTCTAAGGGTATGTTCCCCACTGGGAAAACCCAGTAACTCATTTCTCCAAATCTAGAAAACAGATAGACCATTGAGAGTTAATTCTAATTATGTAAAGATCCTTTGCTTTACAAGACAGCACTATTTTTTTCTTTCTAAAGAGTCTCTTTAAATAGCCATATCTCTTTTTGGAGTATTCAAATTTGGATTTGCTTTACAAAATGTTGATTAGACTCAACTTTTTAGGAGCAAAGAGAGTGTGCAAAAATGGGGAATTGCCTTTCAGGTGTCAGTGGTGAAGTCTTATGTAACAGTCACAGTAGGGGGAAAAAAGGCTCACTGTTTCATCCCTTGAGCCCACCAAAGTCAGAATGCCCAAATGTGGCAGATGGCTATTACAGGCATCAGATGCCCTCAATCCAGCCAGGAAGGCTATACTAGCTTTGGGGTCATTGACCATCATTAACAGTGACACTGACAGCTGAGGGCATCAATTCTTATTCTGAAGCAATTATGCATTATTCAGCATGTATGAACTATTAGCCTAAATAGAGATACTTTCGTTTTGAGACAGTGATGAAGATAAACCTGATGACTTTTATTCAAATGTGGTCATGTGTCACTTAACAAAGGGGATAAATTCTGAGAAATGCATCCGTAGGTGATTTCATTGTTGTGTGAATATCATTGCATGTATTTACATAAACCCAGACAATAAAGCCTACTGAACACCTAGCCTATATGGTATAGTCCATTGGTCCTACATGAGTTTGCACTAAGATGTTAAGATGTCTAAGATATCACTAGGCACTAGGAATTTTTCAACTCCATTTTATGGGACCAATGTCATATATGCAGTCCATAACTGTAAATGAAAACAGAATTTTGGAAAGATATAATGTATTTTTTCTTCTATGTATGTTATGGAGAGAGAGAGGAAAAGGAGAATTTGGAGGAGGACTAGATAGGGGCACAGGGTCAGAAGAAGAAACTCCCAGATTAGACACAAACAATCTTTTTCTCCCCATGTCAGACCTTACTTCTTTACAAGTACAGCAAATACAAGTAGATAAGTGGGATCAGTCATTCCTGCTAGTTCTTATTTCCGATGCATAGCAAGAAAAAGCAGCAATGTATATTGCATCATTCAATTTAGCCAGTAAGTAATGTATTATAGGCACTGTGCTAGATTCAAGGACAGGAAGAAAACACAGGGAAGTGGAAGGAAATGCACATTTAGTAAAACACCTGAGAACCTTCAAAGACCATACAACGTCTTTAGGTACAGTTCCAAGCTGGCTCCTCCAATGGAAAAATGAGCATATTCTATTTCAAAGCTGGGTCTGTAACCAAATTCTTATTTTTCAAGGGGTCCTAAACCAATTGTTGACTTGTCTCTGCTCAGATTTAGTGAGGCTGTTGAAAATCCTTCTGGAAGTTCCGTCTATTGTGCTGTAAGACTATTCCTAATAGTACAGCAAATGCACCAAGCACATTAGCAAGAATTAAGGCCAATGAAGGGGTACTTTGTAAGAGGCACAATACTCAGAATTTTCATAGGACAGTTCATTTCCGCATTCCTCTGGATAATTTTGTCTTCCTGCCTTGTAAGACTTTGTATCCTTTGTGTGCTCATGAGCGTCTAGATTAGTATAATAGAAGGGGTGTTTAGTACATTGAGTGGGTCTTGGGCCTGGAGATGAGTGTGTGAGGAAGGAGAGAGGATCATGAGTAGGGTGGAATGAAAGATAAGTTGCAGACTCCTGCGGAGGAAAACGGTTAATTTCGATTGTTTGATTCATGTTTAAGTTTGTATTTCAGGTTCTGCCACACTTGCATCGAGAAATGTCCCTATCATCTCTCTAACGCAGTTTATGCTCAGAACCAGGTGCAGCACGGACAGGATTTGGTGGTGGTGGTGGTAGGGGAAATCCTCATCAGCCACCAGGAGAAAGTCTGATCTGTGCACCGAGGGGAGCTGGTTCTCTAGGGTGTAAAAATGTGTTCCTGGGACCATTTGAGAAAGGGTTGAGGAATCAGACAGTTGGAGAAGTTAAGCTTCAACCCTTCCTAGGCGAGGGAGTGCAAAAGGGAAGGTGGGATGCTCACAAGGTGGGGGTGGGGTTGCTCCCCATAGCCCCTAGGCAGTAGAAGTGCAGGGGACAGGAAACGTGTATGGCAGAGGTTCCTTATGCCAAGACAAGGTGTTGGGGTATGAGGGTGGGTGGGGGCCTGAGGGGTGGCTTGGAGCCCTTGCGGTGGCTGCCTGACGTCACCGGCCTCTCTGGCAATAGGCTGCGAGCTGAGCTCCCTGAAGCAGCGGCGAAGGCGGCGGCGGCGGCGGCAGCAGCACGGCTCGGTCTCTGGCCCCTTCACTCCGCGCCTTCTGCAACCGCGCGGCGGGGGCTCCCTCCCTGCAGCCAGCTGGCGGCCCCAGGTAAGAGACGCGGTGCGGCTGAAGGCTTCGGATGGTCTGGCGGCCCGACGGCTGGGCGTGAGTGCGGAGAACAGCTCCCGCGGCCTGCGCAAGCACTCCTGGCTGTAGCTTCGGCCCCCGACCCTGCCCCGGCCCCGGCCCCAGACCGGGTTTGCGCGCCGCCTCGCTGCTCCGCAGTGCAACAGTTTGCAGCTGCCTCTTGGGAGCGGCAAGGAGGCTCTGCTGCACGCTGCAGGTCTACCTGGCTCTGGTCCCAGGGAAGAGCCTCGGGGCCCTTGGGCTGGGTCTGGGAAGGCCTGAGAAAAGGTCCCTTTCCCGAACTTTGCAGGTGGGAACCCTCCCCCTTTCAGTTCCAGCTCCCCCAGAAAGGAGCAGGATACTGTCAAGTGGGGCACAGGGAGAAGGAGAGGAGAGGGAGTTTGTGGGGATGTGCTTCAGCTGAGAAAGGTGCTTCAACTGCATTTTTTTTTTTTTTTTTTTTTTTTTTTTTTTTTTTTTTTTTTTTTTTTTTTTTTTTTTTTTTTTGGTGGGAGGTGGGGAGTTCCAGGGACTAAGGCTGGAGAAAAGATGGGGCGAGGTCCTGTGCGTCAACAGTGGCAGCGAACAGAGGCAGAATGGGATGTGCTGCGAGGAGTAACCCCTGGGAATGGGACCTAAGGAATCTAACGCCGTCCGGGAAGGGAGAGTCTGGAGAGGGAGGGAAGGAGAGGGAGGACTGCATACCCGGAGCCAGCTCGGCGGCCCGGGGTGGGTGCTGGGGAGGGTAGGATCCAGGCGAAGACATCCACGGAGAGGGCGCAGGAGAGTCGGCGTTCTGGGAAGTAGGGACTGCGATCCGAGGCGGCTGCGTGTCTGTTGCAATTTGAAAGTTGTGAAGGGCGCCGGGAGGCTGCCTTTATCTGCTGAGTAATCTGCATCTCTTCGGTGCCAGCGCAGACCCCTTCCCGGCAAGTGGCGCGAGTCGTCAGCTGGCTCTTTGGTTCGCGGCCAGGGGCGGGCGGCGGGCCGGGGTCCGCCGGCTGCGGAGAAGACAGACAGCGCCCAGTTGAGGCTGTGTGTCCAGAGGGCCGCTTTGCGGTGATGGCTGATCCGTCCTGTCCTCCGCACTATCCGGGGCAGCAGCCGGGATCCTAACTAAGCCTGTTCTCTTTGCAGCCTGGTGCCTCCGCGAAGGAAAAGGGCGCGCGGAGACGCATTCGAGGTGGGACCGGAGAGGATCTCCCGGGCGCCGCTCGCTCCTTGGCCGGCTTGCTTGCCAGCAGTTGCTCCCTCAGTCCTTGGCTCTCGCGCGCACCCTCTCCCGAGCCAGGGAGTAGTTTTGGGTGGCGTGGGCTCCGTCCTCATTTTGGCTGGTGGGAACAGCGTACCCAAGAGAGGAAGCCTGGTGGGCCCGGCCCCTCCCAGCCCAGCGCCGATGAGTGCCAGGGCGCCGAAGGAGCTGAGGCTGGCACTGCCGCCGTGTCTCCTCAACCGGACCTTTGCTTCCCTCAACGCCAGCGGCAGCGGCAGCGCGGGGGCCCGCGGGCCAGGCGCGGGCGGTGGCGGCGGCACCTGCATCACGCAGGTGGGACAGCAGCTCTTCCAGTCCTTCTCCTCCACGCTGGTGCTGATTGTCCTGGTCACCCTCATCTTCTGCCTCATCGTGCTGTCCCTGTCCACCTTCCATATCCACAAGCGTAGGATGAAGAAGCGGAAGATGCAGAGGGCTCAGGAGGAATACGAGCGGGATCACTGCAGCGGCAGCCGCGGTGGCGGGGGGCTGCCTCGGCCAGGCGCGCAGGCCCCAAACCACGCGAAAGAAACCCGGCTGGAGAGGCAGCCCCGGGACTCTGCCTTCTGCGCCCCCTCCATCACCTCTTCCTCCTCCTCCTCTTCATCCCCCGGCCTTCCGTGCCAGGGTCCCTGTGCTCTTGGTCCTCCGCCGCCAGCCCCCAGTCCAAAAGGAGCACACGCAGCCTCCTTCTGCTTGGACACAGCTGGCGAGGGCCTTTTGCAGACGGTGGTACTGTCCTGATTGTCTAGCCCCTCTCCTCTCCCCTTCCTCGTTTCCAGAATCTGCCGTCCTTGCTTTCCCCCCCTCCTTCCTTCCTTTCCATTTTTCTCGGACCCTTCTTTCCTTTTCCTTTTTCCTTATCTGCCCTCCCCTTTCTCTGTTTCTCCTCCGCCGAGGCACTGTGCGGTATTTGTAAATATTGGGCGAGGAAAGTCTCGAAAGAAGAAATAATGCTGATAATAATACTTTATTAATATTTATAGTAATTATTATAATACTAATAACACGATCCAAGCGCATGACAAGTCACATAATTTCTCATTGTCAATGAAGGATGCATCTTCCCTCTCCACCCCGCGTCCCCCTCAGTAAGGAGGAGAAACCGCACAAGCTACCAAATATATAAAAGGCATTGACCCTTGGGGCAAAGTAAGGGGACGGGGCCCGGTAATGTTGTACATAGCTGTCAAGTTAAGGTTTAGTTACCTTCCTTCCCCTCCGTTTCCCAAGCTTTCACTTTTCTTTTAGCTTTCCTCTCTTCCCCATTCTCACCCTCAACTGGGCTCAGGCAATAGTATATGATAAAGAAAACGTCTACATTAAGCACCAGGACTACAGAGAAAGTCCCAGAAACGTTTATGACAGATCCCCCTCTCCAGTCACAGCCCTCTTTTCACCTGTTGGCTAACCATTACCATTTCCAGGTCAGAGCATTTTAATTTACTTTAAAAAATGTCCCTCGCTGGCCGAGCAAAAGTACATTAAAGATCTTTAAATGAGTAGAAAGAAAGAAAGAAAGAGAGAGAGAGAGAGAGAGAGAGAGAGAGAGAGAGAGAGAGAGAGAGAGAGAGAGAAAGAG